GAGATACTAATTAATTTGTGTCTTTTGTTTTACTTTCAAGGAGTTTTCTACTGTACTGATTTAGGATAAATGCAGGGAAGGGGAAGTTCTAGATTAGCCTTTGTAGTAAATGTCACATTATGGACATTCCAATAGAAAATAGAAGAATAGATTTTAACAAATGTAAGAATTAAGGCTGTACCTGAAAACTTTTCCAAGTCAAATATGTTTCTGTAGTTCGGGCCGGACATGACATGAAATAAATTCTTAATTGACAGCGGTGTGGTTTACAGTACAAGTTTAGTTACCCTTTTCTCCATTATAGTTAGGTTAACAGGTATGTTATATTTGTGTAGACCATCATGCTGAAATCCTTTGTTGTTATGTGTACAATGATACAGCAGAAAAAAAGTTGTATGCTTTGATGGACAACATTAAGTTCGAATGAGGGTCTCCACCAGGCTATTATTTATCCATATTAACATCCCTATCATTACTTGCCATTACTTGGCATCATTTCTAAAAGATGAAAGAAAATGTTATTCTATGCTGCATACTGCTGAAGAGCTGCTAAACTGCTTTTCATTGTTTTGAACATAATGACAATAAAGATCTGTTCATCTCCTTTTTCAATGCGCTTTTGTTCTTCAAATCTAGTAAATAAATAAAAATAGTAGACATTGGGTTGTAGGTCTATCTTCCTCTAGCACACAGGGAGATATGTTTATTACATGTATGAAGTTTAGGATGTACTGAGTAGTAGGACCAGCAAAAACAAAAGTCCAACTAAAGTAGGAAAGGAAATGGAAACAAAATGTCATTGGAGACAACAGATGTGCAGGTTAACGGTGTCTTTAGGTAGCTTCCTGTGAAAGCAGGTCTGTTTGGTCAAAAACAAGCAACCATCCGATTTGATCATTATCTCCTTGTTCTGTCATCTTTAATTATTTTCAATTCAGTACAAGTCATCTTGCAAGAGAGAAGTAAGGAGTATGTCCTATGTGTCTATATGTCTTTTAGTGGGAAATATGGCATGTAATATACAATCACCACCATGTGCCAAACTGGAAACATGGCAGGATCATCTGCATTGGAAATGTGTTTAATAATAGGAAAACTGCAACTAATATGATGAAACCCTAAAGGATATAACAAGCTGGACAAATAAACTCTTCATGAAAACCTTTTGATTTAATTAAAAAATCTACCTAAAATCTTTGTTAATAACAAGTATTGAGTATTTCTTTATTAACCAAAAGGTCTCTCCATTTCATAATATCCTCTTTTCCTTTCAAAAGTCAAGGCATCAGCAAAAAGAGGTGAGGGAGTCCATTTAAGTTTGGTCCATTATCTTGGGGTTCTTATTAATATCTAAGCTTGAGTACCAGTGTCAAAAACCAATTACAGACTCATCTAGCACATGTCTCACATGTCTGTTGTGTTCTTTCAGCCATAAACATGTTTAATTGTCTATCTGTATTATTTTCATTCAGTCACAGTCTGTGACACTGCCACTAGATCTATAATAGGTCTGGGGTAGCAGACTCCAATTACTGTACATTGGGTTGTTAGAGAAATCTTTAGTTTGGAAATGTACATTTTCTCCTTGTTTTGAGCATTTCTTTTTACCCATTACTAAACTTTTATTACATATATTGGGACATGCATCATCAGAGATGTATCTGGAGACAAACTGGTGGGCTTTGGCTTAAAGGACCAGTGTGTGATTTGGTAGCATCTAGCAATGAAGTTGCAGATTGCAACCATCTGAATCCAGCACAGCCTCCAAAGCATCTCGGAGAAACTACATTGGCTGTGTGTTTATTTTATATTCTGGGCTACTGTAAAAACAGGGCAGTTCGACATGGCGGTAGAAGAGGACTCCCTACCTCTGTAGATAAAACTTGCTCATTCTAAGGTAACAGAAACACAACAATTCTTATTTTGGGGGGGGTTATACAATAATGAAAACATATCTATGCATATTATATTCCATTTCTGCCAATAGTTCCTTCTAAATGTTACACACTGGACCTTTAACGTGGTTAGGGAATGATTAGATAATAAAATCAAAGTTGATTACGTGGCTCAAACACAAATTGTAACTGAACTGGGGGAAGAAGACATGCCAGTTTAATTTTCAATTCAAGTCAATTTAATTTGCTTTATTGCCATGAGTGTAACAAAAACAATATTGCCGACGCATTAAGAAATTATAGAGTACAAAGCAAAAAGCATTAGAATTCATAAAATCAAGGAAATATCAGAAAACTAAAACTTTGCCCTGTGTGTGCGTGTGAGAGATTGTGGAAGTGTGTGTTAAAGTTGTGTTAACTCAGTCAGTACAACCACAGTTTTAGCAGATGAGTTGAACCATCGCAAAGTGATAGAGTCATGTATGTTTATGTGAGACTACAAGCCCAGTGACAGTGATATAGCAAGGATGCTCAATCCAATTTGGAAAATATGCCTCAAGTCCTTAAATCTCATCCTTATATCTTTGCTTTTTGGAAATGCTGTAGATTAAGGAAGAATTGCAAGTCAAATAAGAATGTTCCTTCTCTTCTTTCTGCTGTTAACTGTCTCTCCTCTGTCGACCTCTGCTTTTCTATCCTTTGTTTCCTTTTTCATTCACTATCTTTCCTTTCCTTTCTGTCTCTGTCTCTCTTGCTCGTCCTCTCTCCGTGCCCCTCCATCTCCTCAGCAGTTTATCATAATCACATCACCTCAGTGTGATGGAGCACACTTAAGGCTTATTATACGTCACACACACACATGCACACACAGGAGTGAGATCCACTTAAGCCTTATTACATGTCTGACTGTGCTTCTAACATGGGAGATTATCCATGGGACTGTATGCTAGGGCAGAGGGCAAGAATTCCAAGTAGGATGGGCGCAAACACACACACACACACACACACACACACACACACACACACACACACACACACACACACACACCTCAACTCGGATGCAAACAGAAAGATAAGTGGAATACATGCTTCGAGATTTTTAAACTGGACACAAACGTGGACACACAGTGCATGATATTGAAATTAATGTCATGATAGAATATAAGAAAAGAAAAGAAAAACAAGATAGATATCATAAAAAAGGAGAATGTGATATTTTTTACTCTACTGTCTTTTTGTAGGAGACACATGTATGTGTGCACATACACACACACACACACACACACACACACACACACACACACACACACACACACACACACAGCAGGGGTGTTGTACAACAAAGACAGAGACAAAGTGTCTGTATGAGGAACCAAAGAGGCCATCTCATCACTTCTGTGTGTGTGTGCGTGTGTGCGCTTAATACACACAGCAGACAAGCATGTACAGCATTTGTGTGTGTGTGTGTGTGTGTGTGTGTGTGTGTGTGTGTGTGTGTGTGTGTGTCTGTGTGTGCATGTACTGTGAAGAAGTATGAAAAAGAGATAAGAGAAATAAGAGAAAAAAAGTGTGTGCAGGATGTCAGTGGAGTATTTATTTCCCTCTTTCTGACCGTGTGCGTGTTTGTCTGACTTTTGTCAGCAGGTAGTGGGACAAGGTGCAGTGCAGTCTAGCCTCTTGTTCATTTTTACTCCAGTGTCCTCAGATGACTTCAGGAGTGATTGTGCACAAAGAAATACACAACTGTGGTCCTGTTGCTTTTTCCAGCATCTTTCAACAAACATGTAGGAAACGTATAACCTGTTAAAAGGTTAAATCAGATCAGAAGTTGACTTTATAGTGAATAGTGCCTTATCACTTGTCATTGCTGTAACTGTATTCACACCCTAATCAATCCCCCAGGACCATCTTCCATATAATGTTTACTGCCTTTGCTCCCTAGTTCTAGGAATTTATAAAAAATCATAATTCACACAAGTGCAAAGGCATTCCTGCCACAAAGAGGTTCACTCATTTCATATAAAGAACCTACACGTGATTTCATGAAACACATAATATTGCTAGTATATAAGTGGGGGTGCAATTGACCTCTCATTCAGGTGGCAGTAAGTGCAAGGACAGTGACATATGTTAATAACAGTAAAGTGTTTGATAAAAAGCTGTATAATTTACGACTTGGCCTGCTGTTGTAAGGCTGATGGCCTTGCTTACAACCTTACCGACACAACTCTGCGTAACTGTGTATATAATCAGCCAGAATAAGGCTATTGTAATAATAATAATAATAATAGCCATTGATTGTAACTGAAAAATTCCCCCCAACTTCTATACCTTCCAAAACACACCTCTTTGATTTAGCATTTTGAATTGAGTCGGTTGACATGTGCAAGTTGTCGTGTTGAATGACTATGAGTGACTGAGTTGCTATATCCAAAGTTGCTCAAAGTTACCCTCTAAAATGTTCTCAATAGCTCTAACCCCATAGGAGTATCTTGTTGTAGTAATGCTACATCCAGACACAGTGTTGTGTGCTGGGATGTTCTTTGGATAGAATGATAAATTTGCACATCTGTCATTTGTCAGCTTGAAATCCCTAAAGTCAGTGAAATGATGAGGCAGAGATGGGATGCAGATATGCATGCTTAGTCTAGATCAGGGGTTTTAAACAGATTTTTTAGCCAGCGAACCAAAAAGAAATGTGTTTCCTCGGATACAAGTACATAAAAACATATTGCTACTTATGCCAGAAACCATGTAGGTGACCTCTTAAAGCACACCTGAGAGCCATTTTCCCTGTCTCCCCAACCTTCAGTCCCTCTCAGTCACCCTTTCTCTCTCCTGCTTCTCATTTTCTGTGTTTTCTTCTCTCCTCGGATCAGTCATGAATATTCATGAGGTTGTTATTTGCATTGCTGGCTCCTGAAAGAGGCTGAGTACACAAAGGTGACAGCCATCAACCTCGAGAGGCGGCGGTGTTGAGAGATGAGAGTGAGGATGAGCAGGAAAGGAATAAGTGGAGACGATAGAAAAAGGAAAGAATCAGAGAGAAACTGAAGAAAAAGTGAAATGAGACAAAAAGTTACATGAAAGCATTTGTGTTCCCACCTCAGTGTAAACTGTTCCGTGTTTGAATCCGTCTTCATGTACACGCCAAACGCCACCGTCTTGCCAAGCCGAACTGGACTGGGTGGCACCAGAACCTCCACATTTTCATCCAGTCTCAATCGTTCTCCTTTAGCGGAAACTGGGCCCATGGTCATTACCACAGAACCAGCTTTTAGCATGTCCTGAAGACCCCCATCCAGTAGGGGGCTCCACTGTCCCCCGAGGCCCATGCCCAGGCCTCCAAGAGGCCCGACGTTTGCACTCTGACCTCTCCATGGCTCGTTAACAATGGAGGGACACTCTTGACCAGCCCCTTCCACTGGTATAATTGAGTAATACACATCCACTGATGGTAGAGTCACTTCAGGAGGTCTTTTTCTCACTTGTGGTGGTGTAAACCAAGCAGGGGGAATCTCCAGACGGACAACACAGATGCCAGATGGCCCCATGAGGCGGCAGCCTGCCGAGGGTGCTGCTTCACTTGTGTCACGGATGGCCAAGGCTCTGACACATGGGAGGAGGGCTGGAGGAGGAGGGTCAGGCTCGTCCCAACGCCGCCCCACAAGGTAAAACAGTACCTGAAGACAAAGCAAATACACAATGTGATAATGGGTAAAAAAGTGGATGGATGTCATTTGAACAAGATACTTAATAATAACCTATAAAAAATTATTTTCACTGTAAAATCCAGCTTCAAGTGTTAACCATATTAAAAACCTTGCAAAATGACCAAAATGGGTTAGAAATGGCAAAGAAAATAATGCTCTACTTTATGAAAACATTATCTTCTTCCTTCTTTCTGTACAGATACATTTCTCTGGGTTTATTCTTTAAAGCTGCATTCATCAATATATTTATATTTACAATACATCAAAGTACTGTGTGTGATGTGAAAGGTGTTGCTCATAATCCAGAGACCACCATCAACCAACTCATTACCACCTCAGCCCTAGAGAGCGAGTTGTAGCTATGGAGTACTTTTTACCTTTTAGTGGATAGCAAGCTTCAAGTAGTCAATATTGATTAATACATGAGCAAATAGACAAAAGTGCTAAATTTATAAATAATTGTATGGGATTGACATTTTAAATTTGTGTGAAGCCTAAAACCCTGTTTAAGTGCAATAGCATATTTATGAATAAAAATTCAGTGAAGATCCAAAAAAAAAAAAAAATCAAGCTTTCAGTACCTGTATCCAGGGCCTTGTTGACCCCACTTTGGGCACCACCACTTGACCTTTGACCTTCCAGTTTAGAGTAACCTGGTTGGTGGTCAGCAGCAGATGCGGTGGTGGACCCTGAAGCAGCTCCACGGGGATTGGCTGCTCAATGCTGAGGTTTCCATAGCTGCAATTGACACTCGGCAGGGATTGTGGGGCGGCGACACCTGCTTCCAGCTGGTGGAGGAAGAAGGGCTCAGTCCGTGATGATAGGCTGCCATTTCGCATAACCTCCTGATTGGCTTCCCGCAGGAAGAACGCAGAGTCAGCACCGCTCAGCTGGCATTGGACGGGGAGGTAGGTAGGGAGGGAGGAGGAGAAACGGGGTTGGGAGGAGTCCGGCCCTCCTCCTGGTCCAACTCCTGCTGCTCCTGCTTGGCTGTCAGACACTGAGGAGAGAAAGGTGGGAAGGGGGAGAAGAGAAAAAAAAAATTAGTAGGTAAAAAGAGAAGGATGACAGAAAAGGATACAGGTGAGGAAAAGGGGAAGAAAAATAACTACAATATAATTACAAAAACATCCCTTTCATAAAACAGATAACCAGTGCAATGCCTGGCTTATACTTGTAATGCTTACAGTGTCATTTGTAACTGAATTCAAAAGCAGCTAATCATCTATGTCAAGTCAACAAACAGTGTGTAAATCCACGACTCATTGACCTGTGAAATGCATTTTTATTGTATACAAACACTGATAGATGCTCACATCTATCAGGTTTTTCACATAAATTTAAAAATGCATTACAACCCGCTGACACAACATACAGTTTCTCTACAAGGAGAAATGAGCATAAACACATTAGCTCTCAGTAGTGTATACAAGAGTGATAGACTCAGCATCACACATACATACATACATACATACATACATACATACATTAATGCATCACTTCTTTTATCCCTATTCTAAAAGTATTACACAAGCTTAAATCAAAAATGACATATTGCTCTTTGGCAGTTTATTTCCATATATTAACATCCATTTTTTATTCATTTCCTCATGTATTTACCAGACATTTCACAAAGATGGGGAGTTTGGAGCCTGTGATCGCCAGGATTTTGGTGCAGTATTTAATTTCCAAAGAGGACACGGGGTGACTGTGCTGTGATGAGAGGGAGTTTTGATTATCCTCCATCACTCAATAACTGTTATCCATCTACTGTTTTGGTTTATAAGCATTATATTTAGGGATGTCCGATAATATCGGCTGTCCTGTGTTAATTCCACAATAGGAGATATGTTATGTTGTTACCGAACAGTTTTGGTGTGAAAAGCCTGCATATATCGGTATCGGGTGATATCGGAAATTGAGAGTTGGACAATATCTGAATATCGAATATCAGCAGAAAAGCCAATATCGAGCATCCCTAGTTATATTGTAACTAAATGATATCATGAGCCACAATTAACTAGATTGTGGTTCAGTAAAGTTCTGGAAGAGCTTGCTTCTTTTGGTGCCAAAAGTTAAAATGTATGTACTTGAGGTCCTACAAATGTATTCAGCCTCTTAGTATGAGTAACAGGACTCTACATCAATACACTATTTTATGCCAAAGTTAGAACAGTTTGGGTTGGTTCACATTTGAGGTTTCTGTATTTCTTTTTTCCTGTGCTCTTTTCACTGGTTTGATGTGGGCGGAGCTCAGTTGGAATCAGAATCGTAAACTTGGCGGATTACTATATTGGAAAAATGCCGGCAAGCCAGTTCAGGCAGTAAACTTGAGCTACACATCAAGATACACATACTCTTCACAATATACCAAACACTATTATTCTATTATTATATAGTAAATAATAATATATTTTAGCAGCAAAATAACCTCTATTCCTGTACTGTCAATGCCACTGCCTGGTTAGTATTGCTGCCTGTCCTTTGAGCCCCATCACCATCCCAGCATCCACCTGCAGGCTAGGCCAAGGGTTTAAGATATTTGCTCATCACTTCCCAATATCTCTGTGTAAACATATCTGCGGCGAGTGATGAAGTTGGAGCCTAGATGCCAGATTCTCTGTTGAGATGCAACATTTCAAAAGAGAGTTGTCTGACTGAATTACAATCATTTTGTGTATTAAACATTAAATACGTAAAGATGTTTGTTTTAATGGGGTTTTTTTTGTTTTGTTTTTTTACTGATCGTTGCTTATCTAGTAACAATTGGTACAGATAAAGACTTGTGATTTTCAGCCAAGTCTTTAAGGGCTTTAAGGAGTTGAACATTACCCATGGCCTTCCCTGTGCATTCTTAAACACCACTATAACATACATATTTGAAAGGGTCTTTAGTTTCCAAAGCTACGCAAAAAAAGAAGTAAAGTTTGATGTGTTTGGCCAAAAAAACGCCTGTTTCATTAAAGCTGCTGAGAAGCTGAGCTATGGATAATTAGCTTTACGAAGGCTACATTTTTACAGTCTAAGTGACCAATGGCAGTTCACAAGCTAGCCACCTACACTTTTGAACCCACACATTTATGGGGATTTGACATGTGCAGTGCATTGTGTTGAACTCTGTATGGGGATGGTGCCCACCAATGCTAAAAGTAGGCTACTGAAGAAAGGTATACAGAACATATAAATGCCACAGAGGAAAAGTATAGATTGGTACATTTTTCTATAGAAAAAAGATGGACGGATTTCCATTTTAAAACACCAAGGAACCAGTGTCGGCACAAACAACACACTTACATACAGAACTGGGTTTGTGCGGAAATGTGTGTGTGTGTGTGTGTGTGTGTGTGTGTGTGTGTGTGTGTGTGTGTGTATTCCCGTGTCCTAGGGTAGCAGAGTGTGAAAATATAATGAGGGTGGGACAGTGTAGCGCTGTCTGGGGCAAGTTATACCGAAGCAACTTCACAAAAAAATAATAGCAGAGAAATAAAGTGATACCTCGGTGCAACATGAATAAGCAGGCTGGTTTGGTTATGGTGCGTGGGCACGTAAGGATACATTTAGAGAGAAAGACAGGCTGAGGGAAAAGGAGAGAGAGAGAGAGAGAGAGAGAGAGAGAGAGAGAGAGAGAGATGTGGAAAGAGAAACACAGGCAGACAATTGGATAAAGAAAGAAGAGTGAGACAGGAAGAGGAGAAACTATAAGGAGTGAGACGAAAATGGAAAAACAAGGGGAGAAGATGGGGGAAAATGCACACATAGTACAGTGTGACAGATTGGAGATGGCATTTTTATGCTACATAGGATGACTGCATACACTTCATTACAAATGACACCAACTTCTCTTTGTCCCTGAAGGATCCAACCAAACTTTTTCAATAGATGGATATGTCCTCCAGCACCAACATTGTGTACTGTACAGTGTCAATAAAGCTTTGTACTGAAAGTTTAGATGGCTGTTGACAAGGAAAAAGAAAAAAAAGAAAAAGAAAAGAGTTTCTGTGGTACAATTTGTGATTGTCCTTAGTGTTATGTGCTTGGCCATATGCTGAAAGAGGCTAAGACCCCTCAGTTAATGGGGAGATAAACTTTTTTAGGTCATGAGAGGACGTCTTGAATATGAATAAATACATCTCTTTCTTGATAGTAGAATAAAATATACAGCTACTTTGGCTTCATCCATACTTTAATAAAATAAAACATCCAATACATATTAAAATTATTACTTAGTGCCAAACTTCATGTAGCATCAGAGGTCGACATTATGCACATTTATGCCTCGAGTATGGGGGTCACTTAATGCTAACACTTCATGTTTTGAAGCCCTTCATCCATTGAGAGGTTGAGAGTCACATGCAAAAAAGGCTGGTTGAAATGTAGCCAGAGTCAATTTTCAATTTGGTTTGTAATCATCCACTGTTGACTGACAAATAGGTCGATAGGTCATGTGGTCAAAACACATCAGCACATTAGCCTCAATAAGATTTAGTTTTTTTTATTATTTTCTCATTATTATGGGTGTCCTTGAGGTGCAAAGGCCTGCGTGTGTGTGTGTGTGTGTGTGTGTGTGTGTGTGTGTGTGTGTGTGAGTGTGTCCGCAGGAGTCTTATGAAGCATATGTCTCAATCCCGTACAGGGACCTCAAACAGCTGACACACACACACACACACACACACACACACACACACACACACACACACACACACACACACACACACACACACACACACACACACAGGAAAAAAGCCACACACATACAGAGCTCTCTTATGCAGCCAAAATGTTGACCCTTGGATGGCATTATTAACATTGTATGAACTATCAAAAACAGGAAAAAAACACATTCCCTTTATCTAAAGTCATATTTATTTTCTTTATTTATCCATTATCATGTTTTTAAAAAACAGATCAGTAGGATATTTAGTTTTGTCTTTTATCAGTTTGCTGTTTTTGCTGACCCTTGGTCCTTTGTACAATATTAAAAATGTAATTGTCAGACATAAGAGGCAGGCCAATCTCAGCTCAATAGGTGGCGCTATACTACAAGTCAGAGTTGGCCCTTTGAAGTCTGGCATTCAAACACTGGTATGCCATTGGCTACCATTAAACCTGGCATGGTCCAGATTCCCTGGCATCATTACTTTGGCAACCATCAGTCACAACAGGAGTCCATACCCGCTGTTTCCTGCTGCACAGTGCGTCTGTGTGTGAGTGTGTGTGTGTGTGTGTGTGTGTGTGTGTGTGTGTGTGTGTGTGTGTGTGTTACAAATGTTTCTAAGTGCCTCTGTGTGTGGATTTATGAGTGCTGTAGTGGGTACCTGTATGTGCATGCATGGTTAAGTATTTGAATGTGTTTGTATGACGTGGAAAAACATATTGCAATACCGAGGCAAAGTACACTGTATGTGCGTGTAGGTGTGTGTGTGTGTGTGTGTGTGTGTGTGTGTGTGTGTGGGAAAATTGGACAGGAATAAAGCCAGATGTACGGAGATTTGACAAGGCCCATCTGTGATCCTTCTTCCCCCAAAAAGTACCCATCCTGCTCTATTTCCAAGTACACACACACAAGCACATACACAGCCAATAATCAAAAGACAGTGGAGCGTGTAGGACAGGAACAAAGAGAAAGGAAGAAAGACAGCGAGAAGCAGAGCAAGATGGGGTTTTGAGTGAGAAGGAGATATACCAAGATGTGATAATGGTATCAGTGCTGCTTGATATTGTGTTGGTTAAATATTGCCTCAGATTGTTATATTTAATTAGACAAACACACAAACACACTGGTTTGCATATCTGTCTGTAAGTGTGTGTGTGTGTGTGTGTGTGTGTGTGTGTGTGTGTTCAGACAAGTAGGGCCAACTCAATGACAGACCAGGTGCTTTGCAACAATAGTACAGCGAGTTGTTACACAAACACACCCAGAAACTGGACTTTGAATTTGTTCTTTCACACACATAAGCCATAACTCCGTTTAACTTTTCTGTGCGTACTGTCAGTTCCATT